TATGTCTGTTTGTTTAGTTCACACATTGCTGAAAATATAATGGAATTTTATGCGACTGTCATACAAGTGAGAGGGTTAGCTAACTTTAAAACCAGGTTTAATCCACCATTTTCTACATAAGGAAATGACTGTACCAAGTCAGGAATATGACAGTTGTTTGCCATTCGTTTGATGTGTTTGAGCTTTTGATTTTGCCATTTGATAAGGGACTTTTCGTTTTGAATTTTCCTTGGAGTTCGGTAGTTTTGTTATTTTACTTTTTAGTTGTTTTAATCATTGTCGTTTGCTTGACACATGTCTCATTGACATTATATCAAATCAATATATGTGTAATGTATGGAACGCCACAGCTGTCTTATGTGGAACTCTGATATTACTTTATGTTGTTTTATTATTACTTGATGATATTTAGTCTTTACTTACTATGGTTTTGACATTACGTAATGATGTATTGATATAACTCAATATGGAATAGTCATTACTTAATGATATTTCGATATTACAAGATATGGTTTCGTATTGACTTGATATAGTTTTGTCATTACTCAATATGGTTTTGTCATTACTCGATGTGGTTTCACCATTATTTAATTGGTTGTGTCATTAGTCAATGTGGTTTTAACATTACTTGATGTGAATGTGACTTAACGTTATGTAGTTGTTTAATTACATGATGTGGTTTTGTTATTTTGTAATGATGATTTGCCTATTCTTTATATGGTTTAAAAATTACGTAATGATGTTTCAAAATTTGACGATTTTACAATACATGATGTGTTTGTTTCATTATTTGATGTGGCCATGTCATTCTTTGATGTGGTTATCCCATTACTTAATGAGGTAAAATCACGTAACCAATTCGGAAAAAAAATATGTTCTATTTTTAAACAGATTTCAATATATCATTTGTTTAATGTGCTTTGGATGGGTATCGCTATCCATTGAGTTTAAGTTTAAATTAAAGTTCGAGTGGTTGTTCAGAGTTATTTGGTATGAAAAGGGTATGGCAGACAATAATAAGAAAAACAGTATTAAAAGGTTTACAGTATTTCGGACATAATTGGGATATCCCCAAACCACTTGGTCTTGTTGTTTTTATCCTAAGTTCTCAAACGGAAGCAGTATTTTTGTAATAAATTTGTAAAATATTCCACGGAACCCTGTGTCTTGCCTTATATTGCTGCTGTAAGTGTAAAAGCGTCATGTCGATCGGCTGTACATTTATCTATACATTTATCGGTAAAAAAAAAATAAAAAAAAAATGTTTTTCTGTAGATGCTTTTTTTCTTGAAATTGAGGAATAACTCCTATACAAGTTTTAAAACACTTCATGGAGGTTTACAAATTTATCATGTCAAAACAGTTTAATTCGGTTTTATTTAACTAAAACAAAACTGTATGGTTTTCAACAATAAGCAAAACATATACCCTATAGTAAGCTATAAAAGGTCCCGAAATGAAAAATGTAAAAAACTAGAAACCTAACGATCTATAGATAGATAGATAGATAGATAGATAGATACTTTATTCTCTAAAAACTAATTACAAGTTTACAGAGAAACATACAATATAAATAAAGATACAATAGTTGAGGTAAACAGATACAGTATGATATTTTAAAAGTACAAAATTATGATGGCATACATGTTTAGTAACATGTATAATGAAAGGTTAAACTCAAAAGAAATTAAAAAATAATGGATATAGAGACACCGACGCCACTATGGACGACGAAATATAGGTTTGTTGTGTCTCACTGCCGCTACATTGATGCCGCAGGCACGACACAAATCAAAAGACTTGAACTTCATTGTTAAATGAAACACTTCAAATCAACTCACATTAAAGTTACAGGAAAACGGGGGGAAGGGGGCTCGGACTTAGCGACAAAGCATAAATTAGGGCCGTAACTACATTGAGGCAAATGAGGCAATGCCTCATGTTGGAACTTTAAAAAAAATAAGTTGAAACAAAAGCTTGTCTTCATATCAAATTGTTTTAATGCATGAAGCAAGTTCTGTTCACCCTCTGAAGTCGCCCCCTGTTTTTTCGGGATCCATGTCACATGATGTTTTTCATTTATTTAAGCTGTTTATTCCCGTAACATTTGTATGTTGTGGACGTTCATTCTCTGCTTTGCGTAGATTTAAGACTAGGGAAAGATCTATGATGACGGGTGGACGGTTCTGTGGTATGGCAATGTTGCATGTCCACCGATGTCCAAATATTGTTCGAGAGATTGTTTTTGGAGAAGACACGATGCTACCGGACATAGAAAAATTGGTCGTTTTTTTCATGAAAAATTAAAACGTTATATCAAAGAATACCAAACTAACTCTTTTTCTGTAAATAAAACAAAAAAGCTGAAATGGGTTAAATTAAGTGAGACATGAATCTCCCGGAATCAAATCATTTAAAAAGAAAAATAATGTATTGCCAAATGACCTTTTACATTGAAGGGCTAAACTTGCATTAAATCGTGTTCAGGCCCTGAAATAGAAAATAAAGGGATATGGAGTAAATGTGCATGGGACAAAATCGCACACAATTCATAGAATAAATACAAATTATCAATGAACAGGGTTTGTGTTCCTGTTCTTCATCTTGACAATCGCTGGGGGGTCTTCAACAATGAACGAATCATTCATACCCTACACCAAGGTCAAGACGGCCCCTAGCGTCTTCTTTTAAAGCGGTACTTAAAGTATTGTACTGTGAATAAATGTCAAAGTCACAAAAACATTACACCAAAGTCTAAACACAATACAAGACCAGAACATAGATCCGACATTAATCAGCCGGTATAAAATGTAGCAATGGGATCTTAATACAGTTTTCCTGAGTGTACCCTTTTATCCGAGTTAGGAACTACATCAAGTTGTAATTGAAATGAATTCACATAGTTAAATCAATGATAATCAGCCCCCTCTAAACTTGATTAAAAAAAAACATAATGGACAGATATATGTGAATTACGATTTTATCCTACATATCGGTCTTTTGATGTTGTCCCTAAAAACTAAGTCTTACAATGAATCTATATACTTTACTTTGAGACTAGAATATTGTCGAAAAAATGATTAAAACAAAACTTGCGTTTCAGATTAAGGAAGGGTCCGGGAAACGCTCAGAATACACGATTTTGCGTCATTTTTTTCCAGAGCCATGAGCGGCTCCCAGACCCCTCGCCGAAATTTTTTTCGCCTCGCTCTGCGAATATATTTTGCCTCATTTTAAAAAGGGGCTAGTTACGGCCCTGATAAATACTATAAAATAAGAATTCTCCGAATTTTTTTTAGCGAACTTATATGAATATCAATCTTTTATTTGTAATCAATTGAATTCCCTGATCTACCTCGCACTAATTGAAAAATAAACTTTTTGGAATATCTGTTTCACATGTGACGACGGACATGTTCCAGTGGTGGTAACCGTAATACCGTCATCTTTTCCTTGAATGTGAACTACCAAATAAAACCAAATTACTGGGTTTATACTTTCTCGAATAACACGACGGGTGCCTTTCTGGAGCATCCGAGATCACCCCGATGGATTTATATTACCCAGTCATACCGATCTATTGAGTCAGCCAAATGAAACTGTTTTGTATGCCACCACAACTGAAAGTTGGGAGGCATATTGTTTTACCCCTGTCCGTCCGTCCGTCCGTCTGACCGTCCCATTATGGATATATAGTTATTCCGCATAACTCCTCTTACAGTTTGAATCCTAGGAAGTTTTCTCTTTACTGTCTGTTTGTACATATATTGAAGGTGTGCATGTGGTCAGGGTTTAATGTTTATAAATATTTGCTCTTTTGGGAGATAGTTGAACTTTTTTTGTAATTTTTTGGGAAATTTACTTGCATAAGAAGAGCGTTTCCAGATAACTCCTCCTACAGTTTGAATGCTAGGAAGTTTTCACTCTGCTGGCTTTTTGTACAATTATTGAAGGTGTGCATGTGGTCAGGGTTTTTATTTTTATTATCTTTTGCTCTTTTGGGAGATAATTGAACTTTTTTTGTCATTTTTGGGGTATAAGCGGTTAATTTAAATGAGTTGAGTGCGGGGCATCACTTTGTCTAGTTTACATTTTTTTCTCGTTGTGTGCTGTTACACAACTGTAACAGTCCGATTTAAGGTTATGATTTAGCGTTCACATACATGTTAAACTCCGCCACGTGCACTTTCTTTATGTACCTGCCCCAAGTCAGGAGCATGAAGTTCAATTGTTCTCGTTGTATAAATGTGTGTCATTTTTTTTGTAGATTGTTTAAATATAAAGAAGACCGTTTGTTTTGTCGTTTGAATTTTTTCACATGGTTCATGGTGGCCTTTTGTAGCTGACTATACGGTGTGTTGAAGACTGTACGGTTGCCTATAAATGATTTCTTACACCCACTGCATTTAAACTCTGATGGATAGTTGTCTCATTGTCAATCACACTACATCTAACTTTATTTCAACTTCTATGTAGCATTGTTTATCTTTTGTACGCATACTCAGGAGCCAGCCCTCTTTTCGGAAGCCCGAGCAAACGTCCTTGTTCCGCGATATAAAATTTAATTACGAACTCATATAAGAAAGCTCGAATTTCAACTCAAAATCTTAATTAATCTGAATGATACTTAAATTCGAATCTTACTCAAACTCAAAAAGTGACTCAAATTTAATGTTGTAACTATATAACTCTACCTTTAAATGTGACTCAAACTCGAAGTCCAACTCGAAACTCAATGCTAACTAAAACTTATAATGATTCTAATAATGATTTGAATTCGAAATCGAAGACTAACTTAAAGTATAACTCAAACAGTAACCCGAACTTTAATTTGAACTCAAATTCGATTGATGGCCACACTAATCCAAGGCTCATACAACATGGAAATCTTTCTAAAAATAGAACAGGTTTTTCCGAATTGGTCACGTGATTTTACCTCATCAAGTAATGGGATAACCACATCAAAGAATGGCAGGACCACATCAAATGACAAAACTATATCAAATCAATACGAAACCATATCGTTTAATATCGAAATATCATTAAGTAATGACTCTTCCATATTGAGTTATATCAAAACATCATTACGTAATGTCAAAACCATATTAAGTAAAGACTAAATATCATCAAGTAATAATAAAACAACATAAAGTAATATCAGAATTCCACATAAGACAGCTGTGGCGTTCCATAGTAATGTGCTCTCTCTTTTTGCCAGTTGATTCGGGTTTCTTTGTATATACCCCTTTTTCTTTGCCCTGTTGCAATGTTTCTCTGAAATTTATTTGCTTATTTTGCGATCAAGACATGCTCTGCAGTACATACCTTTATTGCAAAATAAAACACGAAACATATTGATCATAGCTGATCCCAAACACTCATACATCATACACGTGAATAAAGCGGTTATGGGTAAGCATTCTCCGTTTGAGTTAATTAACAGAGTGTTCATATGCCTGATATATAATCATTAAGAAAAATGTCATCGCCTGTCAAAATAATGAATGTTATTTTCCAGTAAGAAAAGAAATTGTGAACTAATTTTATTAATTAAAACTCCTATCAGTTGCTTTAACGATCACATTTGCTCCCATCAGGTTTTGTTTCATGGGCTCGGCACCATGTATTCAAGTTGATGAACACAACATCCAACGCCAATCCGTCAGCGACATCATTTGTGTTAGAAAGTTGTGAATGTTCAATATATCCACCAACTTCTTGGAAAAAATAACGTAACTTTGCCAAATTGTACATCGATTTTTCTAAAATTATTTTTTTTCCATCCCAAACTCTGTATTCTATGGTCCATACATCAACAATTAAGGTCTTTAGTTGAATATCTTTTTTCATATTTTCCAAGACTTCCATCTCTGCACCCTCCACGTCTAATGAAAAATAATTTATCCGAAATTGTTTAATCGATTTTAAAATTTCGCTTATATGGAAACATGGTACAAATATTACCTGAGACATATCAACTGTGTTGACCCTCTCCTTTGGAATGAATGTATAACTTGATCCTTCGGCACCTTTTTTAAGAAAGAACTTACTTTCTAATGATGATAAGCACGAACATAAACGCCATATGTTACGTCCTAATTTGTCAATTGCATCACAGTTATCTGGGTCTGCTTCAATAAGCAATCCTGTCCAGTTGTGTCGTCTTTCTAGCCACAATGTATTTGACCATGTTTTTCCATCGAATCCACCAATTTCTATAAAATATCCATTTTGTATTTTAAGGAGCTTATAAACAGTTACATCTTGTTTTGCCTGGGAATATCGGATATCTGTATCTGATATGATATTAGCAGGGCACGGTTTTTTCAAAAACATGGAAATGGTTTTCGTCTTTTTTAAGTCTTGTTTTCCAATGTTTCCTCCAATATGTATCGTTGCATTTTTTCTGTGTTCGCCAGATATATCATGACTATTTGATATGGTATGAACTGTTTTAAAAACTATTTCTGTTATCGCAGGTACAATAGCAAGTCCAACTACGATAATAAGAATCAATGTTAATAAAATTGTTTTGTTTTTACGGTATAATCCCATCATGATATAAATTCTCAAACTTTTGCTGGAATTGAACGAATTTCAGTGTCTGCAAAATACAAAGAAAATGTGTTTATGACATTGATAGTGTTAACAATTTTTAATACAGAAATTACATGGAATAGATTGAGCAAAACAAGATATACTATAAAAAAATCATACCCATAGCTGACGATATAAAGGCAATTACATCTAAAACCAAACTAACAAAATGATGATTAATTGAGTGTTTATTGCTTTAAGCCGCATCAGCACAAAAAAGGTTATTTTGAGACGGAGCTATTTCACATGTCTTAACAACAAAGTGTAAAAAATCAGACACAAAGTCTTTCGATTTACTAAAACTTCAGTTTAAACTAAATTTACTTTTTGACAAATGACACGGCTTGTTCAAAATACAATCTGCTTTTTCGTACATATCTCAATTGATACGTCAAGATTGTAGATGTTCACACTAAACGGACTTCATAAGCAGGGACATTTTCCTTTCACAAAAGCTGCCCAAACAGACTTATCGGGCATGAAATCGACACTATATAAGTTTAACAGTAACCACCACGAATTGGTTGACCTATACATGTACTATACGTATGTGTCTCAACTTACTACCGACATTTTTTTTTATCGCAGTCTTAGATCTAAAGATACCAGAATATACTTCCAATCCGAACTTTTGTCAAGTATCATTTGAATTAATGTGGTTTTGTATTGTGGTTGATGCATTCATAACAGGAGATGCTTACAATGTCGACCCAACTGATATCGCTCCTTTAAAATTCCATTCGTTTCCATTTATTACTTTGAATTGTTTTCTTAATCGATTTATAAGATTGGCCAAACGGTTAACATATGATTCTTAATAATATAATTGTTTCTCTAGGTTAACTTTTATTTTCGCAAAAACTAAATACAATTAAGTGTTTTGCAGTTTTTCGTCTTATTTATATAAGATCCTATGAAAATTATGTAACAGCTGTATGTATTTGCAAATGTTCAGGTTGAGATTGAAAGTTTGTATTTCCTTTTAAACTCTCACATCTTCGGAGGCTTTGATATTGTATATGCACAATGGAAGAGTGCAGGCATACATATATGGTACTTATTTAGTATTACTTAGTTTGATTAACGTCTTGCCTGACGTGTTTGCAAGATACATTAAAGCAGTCATGATCATTCCTCACTGTATTTTATTAATCATGTTAACATTTGTTGAATTAGTTGGAGGTCTTTAAAGTAACAAATTATTGCTGATATTTCTGTTCAAGCACCATTTGATGCGGCCCATGATTTGAAATGGGAACTTTTTTTTAAACGGTGTGGCTTGTATGGTGCATATTTACACCCCTTTCATATTCCTACAGATAGTTTTTTTGGGTCAATCAACATAGTGATAACCGACAAACGATTGAAAAGTATAAACGTAAATTGTTTAAGACTTATTTCTTTACGCTCTTTCTTGTACAAACATCAATATTGTTTTTTCTATATTCTTCAATGAATGCTACGTTATTGATTTGTTTCAGTGTTTAAAACTGAACAAACACAAGCACCCTTGTCCTCCGACAGTTGTCTCGTCAGTTTGTTTTTTATTTTACTTATCTATTTTATTGTTCTAATGCTTTCTTTGCTGATTAAAATAAAGCTATTCTGATATTATTGCACACAAATGCATTGCACTGGACAATAGTTTTACCGACTTATTCGAAACTTGATTTAGCAGAAGGCGTTTATTTCTTTTTTACCAGAAAATAAATGAACGATAAAGAGATTAAATGCACGTAAGTGTTGAGTTCAAAATTGCGCTTTCAATATAAAAAAAAAAATGTTACCACAGAGTTTGCATCTGAATAGAAATAAGCAGATTGTTTTCTTTTCAACTAAATACCATGAGTAAAATTGAAGCTTCGCCACACTTCAAAGCTTGTCTGTCTGATAGTACAGTGGATTGCATACCAGTAAAGTTTTATCATGTCTTTATAGTGATACATCATCGCAACAGCGAAACAAAATCAATAATTTATACAGTGTATGCGTCCGAAGCGCTTTTCTTAATTTTTCTTTCCTTCAGCCGGAACGCTCAAAGCCAAATATTTGTTAAGCAAGGGGTGTATAAGTACTGGACAACGTGAAGAACTTGTTGATCAAGAGGTATCTTAAAAGCATAGCCAAATCCATCTGAGGTCAACTTTGAATGAGGAAGGTAAAACATAAATAAAAAGTACGTCCCGATCTACATACTTTTCAATTAGACGAACTCTAAATAGAAATCATAATTTCTTTGAAAAGTAAATATTGTTTTATCTTTGAAAAATTGATATTGGTAATTTTATGAACAAAAATAAATATGTTGAAAGTTTCTTTCAAAAAAAAACAAATTTCCAATGATTTAAGAAAACATATTTTATGGATTTTCTTTGTAGATTAATTTTTCCTGCAAATACGGAAATTGAAAGTAATAGTCAGAACAACACACATAAATATCGGTGGATCTATCGAACATTTTTTTTCAAAATTGTCTAATAATGTCAGACTTGGATAATCTTGATAGTTCTTTAATGTAGTTAAAAATACGATATCAGCAATGAGTCGTATTTTTTCATCACTGTATCTTCCAGCCACATCTCATTTTGGTCCGAATCTGTAAAAAATTGTTTCATTCTTTTTTGCAATAACATTGGCAAATAATTTGTAATCAAAATTGTAGAGGAAACAAGGACGCCAGTTTGGCAAAAGCCTTCTGTTTTTTTTTCTTTCTTTGGAATAAGAGTTAGTAAACCGCGTCTTTTGTCTGTTGCAAGGGTTCCGGTTTCGATTGAGTATTCATAATTTCTATAGCATATTTGTTTATGTCAATCCATAACAGCATATAGAATTCAGCAGTTAGCATGTCTGTACCAGGGCTTTTGTTATTGTTTATTGTTTTCAAAAAATTAACGCACTCAGATTATGTTATATCTGCATCGCACACATTTGTTGTCAGGTTCTGTTAGCTTAGGAATAAAAACCAAATTAAAAAAGTTAGAATCCGCGAATGTATATCATTATCTTCTTTTGACGAATATAGTTTTCATAGAAACTTCTCTCTTCGTCAAGTTTTTTTTTCTTGTGACGTAATTTCCATGTGGCTTTCAACTAATTTGTTTACATATTTATTTTAATACTTGAGCTTTCCTAATGACAAGACATATATCACATTCCAAATGTGTATTGATATCGTTATCTTAATATGTACGCGAGAAAATTTTTTGAATTATTTGTCTTTTTTGTTCGATTTTTTAAACTTGACACTCTTTCCCGTAATTTCATGTTTTTGGGTTTGGAATATTAGTATTTGAAGGTTGCACCTCTTAGTTAACTTTTCATAATATCCCATTTCAATTATTTATTTCTTATCTTTGTATTATTGTATAGATTTGGCATTATCTATCTTGCAACAATAAAACAACGTTGCCGTAGTTTGGGTTGGTCATTGAAAAGCCTGTTAGTATGCAACTCTTTGCTCTACAGAAACGACATAAAATAAATACATGCACGTAGCTGATAGTTTGAGTTTGAGTGGATAGCTCATTCATACTATCCTAAAGGGATTGAAATCTATAATAACCCCTTCAAAACTTGGACAGTTTAACTTTGGTATTTTGTGGTACTAACTAGTTGAGATAATCGACCAAGGTAAACTTGGAAAAGAAAGGAAACAGACTAAACTGTTATGTTATAAACGACAGGCGAAAGATACCAAAGGGTCATTCGAACACATAAGTCGAAAATAAACGGACAACGCAATGAAAAAAAAAAATAAAGAACAAACAACAGTATAGACACACACTTCATAGAAAGACTGAACATGCATAAACGGGTTCGTGAATGAACAGATTCTGATATATCAGGATTGGTGATATAGAATGATGCTGCAGTTAGATTTTACTCCGTCATCGGAATTTCTACCTTTTTACTTTGGTCATACCTGGTGCCGATGGCTCCTGAGATGCGATTCGAACTCAAATTGTTTTTACAGTGTTGTTTTTCTTATCCCTTGTATTTATATTTACTTAATTTTCACTTTATGGGGGAAGTGTGTTTACTATATACAGTATGTACTTTCAACGACAAAACACTTTTTTTGTTGACGTCATTGTTACAGATGGGTGCAGTCCTAACCTGTACTGCAAATTAACTTGCTTAACAGTCATTTTGACTGGTCAAAAGTAACCTGCGACAGTATTTAGGACTGCTCTGACCAGTCCAAGGACCACAACCAAGTTAACTTGAGAAGAGGACTTGGTCCTACAATTTTTCATTGATGTAACCCTTCTAGATATCATTTATAATCGGTATGATGAATCTGCCGAAATTGACGTGATATTTCATAACTATACAACACCTTATATATCCGGACACTATACAATTTTCGTTTGAACATTTCGTCAAAAACAGAATCGTATATTCTAGGCAAACAAGGTGAATTACGATGAAAATACCATGTTATGCATACAATTATTTTTAGGAAGAGACTGCAAAAAATGGGAAACGAAGAAACGTGAACAATGATGTTTATATCCCATCATATAAAAATATTTGTTCAATGCGTTGGATAACCTTTCTATCCACCATCCAATTAAAAATCTTTCGTTTCTTTTATGATAGCTGCATGTATAAATGTCGATCAAAAAGCGTGAAATTTCAAAGCCATTATGTTTATAATATGTATAAAGAATCACTAACGAGTATATTAATTTGCTGTACTGGGAAAAAAGAACAATACGATTATTGTTTACATAACAAAAGTTCAGGTCTAATATGAAAAGTCTTAAACACGTCAATCTGTCATAAGCCACTTGTGTCATTAGCAGACCAGTCCTTAGGTATGGTCAGTAACAGACTTGTCCACAGGTCTGGTCTGGGGTGGACCTGTCCACAGGTCTGGTGTGGGCATACCTGTCCTCAGGACTGGTCAAAAGCAGACCTGTCCGCAGGTTTGGTCTGAAGCAGATTTGTCAATAGGTCTGCAGCAGTCCCAAAAAACAGACCTAGGTCTGGTCTACCACCGATGAAGATAACTAACTTGTCTGCTTAAAATTTCTTAAGACAACTTGGAAAGCATTCACAACGTCTGCTTCAAGTTAAATTTTGTACAGGTTAGGACTGCACCCATCTGTAGATTAATTAGTATGTTTATTTAAATTTTTTAGTCAGTTGTTTCGTATGTATGTGATGTATGTCTACCCAGTTTTGGCGGATTGATCCCGATTATTGTCACATTGACCTATTATGTCTGTTTGGGTTGCTCATTCAATTTTGTCAATATAACTGAACTGTACACACATGTCATACATGAGAGGTTTAACTAGCTATAAAACCAGGTTTAATCCACCTTTTCTTCGGAAAATGCCTGTACCAAGTCAGGAATATGGCAGTTATCTTTCACTTGTTCCGTTGATTGATATCGTTTGATTTTGTTAGTTTTTATTGGCTCTCCCTTAATGAATTTGCCCTTGAGATCGGTATTTTTTTAAAATGAGATGGCAATATTAAACTGTTGGCCCACAAGTAAAATTGAAAGTAATCGCATTTTTGCAAACTATTACATGCATGGTCTGTTTGTGTGTATTGAATGTATTTATTTAACAAGTTTGTCGGTTCAGCGAAAACGTTAGTAATTAAAGTAGATTATGACTGTGGATTGTGAGTATTGAATAGGTTTAATACTATATCATACATGTATATTGTTGTCTAAATCAAACATGTCCTCGTCTGTTTGCTAAATTTCATTCACCAGCTCATCATTCAGGTTTTTCAAAATGTCCCTTTTCTGCAACACAATACTTTTAATTCCTGTGATTTCCTGAATGTATCGATCGCAACTACACAATGTATGTCTTGTTCCGTCGACATTACGCCATAAGTCTTGTAATTTTATTTTGTGTTTGGAACGATTTTTTTTTCAATTTTCAGGTTGGTCAAGGGATCACAGATACAATAAAATACATTTATTTTCGATTTGTGCAAAATAACTTTCACTGGTAATGATAAATGCAAAGTAAAACTAAGCATTTCGTATTTAGCTTAGTAATGAATTCGAATAAATTTCTTAGGCTACATAAGATCACGCAAAACGATAAGAATAGCTCCTAATGTTGCAGCATATTTAAAGTGTTAAGGTTTGAGCATTTCCGATGATGATCATTCCAGAAACGCGCTCCAGACCTATGGAATGTATGAAGTGTTCATGTCATTTACTAGCACAGAGTCGATACAGTTGCTGATGGATTGTTAGTCCCCGAGGGTATTATCAGCTCAGTAGTTAGTGCTTCGGTAACTTTTACTAATTTCAAATATCCCTTTCATAAAGAAAGACACTATTAATAAATTAAGGTTTCATCTCCCATAGGCAAAGTTAACCTGAGTAGAATTTGGCTTTTATGTGTAGATGCTTGTCGGTCATATAGCTCATAATCCTGCAACATATTGACGAATACATGGAATTCAACTGTATAGGTCTGAGCAATCCTATTGGAGGTTAATCCTGATAAACGCTCCAACTTTCAAACATTCATGAACTGTTTATTTCATCTATGAACGCAAATATAAACGACACAGTTTATTAAAGCTCATAGTCGAATTTATAAACGTCTCAATTGGCCACTGGCCGCGATATAGCTTTTTACGATAATGCAGCGTAACACTATCATCAACAATCTATATAGATAGATTGGCCAAAAACGCATCTACATACACAATAATGTGGTTTAGGTAAACAGTTCCTATCACTGGACAAACATGTATAACATTCACCGTTTTCATTCTCAATTTTATAAAGTAAAACAACAAAAATACCGAACTCCAAAAAAAAAAAAAAAAAATAAAACGGAGAGTCCCTTATCAAAAGGCAAAATCAAAAACTTAAACAAAAATATTCTATCAATCCTACGTTATTAGAAAAAAAAAAAAATGCAATATCCTTAGCAGCAATCCATTGAAAGAACCAATTGATTTAAATTTCAGATTTTATTTTATATCAATATTGAATTAATATGTCGCCGATGTATGATGGCGTCACACCGATTTCGGGAGTATCACTTGTAAAGTTCACAAAGTGTGACGCTAGGTGTTGCTTTAACAACGAGAATGTCAATGTCACGGTAACAATTTTTTTTCATATGTTCGTGAATCTTGCATCCTGATTCAAAATACTACTAATTTCGTCATAGTGTTTGTGACCACTGATACAAAATTGTGGGTAAAAGAATTAACAACAATTGTTTCTTTAAGTGTCTTATATCAGAAATAAAATATAAATGAAGTATTGACACTTCGCTATCAATGCTGACACTATATTACGTTCCTAGAAGAATGTATGCCATACAATATCAAATGACAACTCGGACGCACTTGATTTATAAAGTGTGAAATGCCATTGCGTTAGTAAATGTTCAAACAGTTACCAAAAAAAACCCAAAAAGACTGGACTTGGTTAAAAATGATAAAACTATGTTAATCAAATAACTCATTTTGTATGATACGCAACAAATATGTGTTAAACAGTGACGGCCAATACATGGTATTATTTTATATTCAAAGATTATTCAGGATATTTATCTGTGTATGCATTACACAATATGGAAATGTAAAAATTCCTTAATAAATGATTGTATGTGCTTGTTGAAATAATCATCTTTACTACTACAATTCTAGCCGTTTATTTGCTCGTAAATTTAGAAAGGAACAAAGAAACAAGCTCTAAATACTCATTAAAAACATTTGTGATAAAAATAAAAAGTAAGGAATAATGAGACATCTGAATACTTACAAGGATGTTACAAATATAATAATTGCTGCTTGTGTCAAAGTCACAAATAATTGTCGTCTACTTCTTCGTCTTGATAATAATGTTCTGATGATAAGCTCGAATTTCTAACTCGCTTCCATGTTATTATGTTATTCTATCAAATATAGATATTTAAATAACTGAGCAAATAAATTACTGCAAATATACTAGACATGTAACATTCGTTTGTAACGATGTTCAATTATTTCGGTGTTGCAAATCTTAATCGCAAATCGTGTCAAATGGTTGATCAAGGTTGATCATGTAACAATACAATAAATATGTCATTTTTATTTCTAAACAGTGTTGTATTTGTTTCAATAGTTTTAAGACAGATGTTTCACGACTGAGTAATTTTCTATGATAATTTTTAAAGTCTTTTAAGGTGGTACATACCATTACAGGAAGATAACTCTGTAAAAATCAGCTGAACGTTTTAATCACGTTTTCATGTTAAGAAAATATTAAGCTTCTCAAGGATCAACATTAGTGTTTGTCAAACTACTACATATCCAAAGACAATTTTCCAATAAAGTGTGTGGTTCAAGCTTTTGGAAATTTTTATATTTTTGTCAAAGGGTCAAAGTAAAATTTTGTCAAAATTTTATGAAAATTAAACGAGCCAAATTAGTTTTAGTCAAGGTGTTTGGTACCACCTTAAACTAACTGAAATTCTATCATCATTGCCGATTTCAGTAAACACATGTATTTGATACAGACTGTACCATGTCTCTGGAATTCTTAATCAAGTGTATGCATGCGATAACATTACTTTCTTATGAATATCGAATGAGAGATCATCATCTGTATACACAGCATGACATTGAAGGATAATGCTAGCTTCTTTGGCCGCCACTCCTGATCCAGATATTTTTTTGTGTCTAGGGATTCAATATCATTATTGGCAACTTTTACCTACAGAACATTGTTGATCCTGTGTTGCGGCCAAGGGTTTCCTCAAGCTTTTAAAAGGTTCGAAAAATGCTCAAAATTATTGTTTTTTTTTGGCAATATACCCTAAATGTGCCGACTTTGAAACTATCATGTACTTTAATGAAGAGATTTGTTTAACCTAGAAGTACGGCTTTTGGAATAGATCAATTTCAGAACCAAATTCTGGCCATTTTGAAATTTTATGAAAAAGTTGAAATTCAAGGCCATATTTTCAAGAGGTAGCATGGCACATTAGTCAAATGCAGCATTTAAATGTTGTTTGCTACACAATTATTAAATTTTAGCATCCAGTAACAATATCCTTGAATATGCATTACATATTGATAGACGTGTCTTATTGTTAACACTTGAGACGAGAAACGTTCCTAAAAGACAGAGAAAACAAATACATATTGTCTATATGCCTTTCTCGGCAATCAATATTATGTCTGTGTGCCCAGTGTGTGACTGTATCTCGTTGAATATTCCTAATAAAATCAAAGTTCTTGATATCTAGTTTTATATTCACTTAACCCACACTAGGTCTACATTGCGTATCGACTGCATGTGGTCAAAACCTGATTTAAACTACATGATAACATTGATTTTTATCAATTGTAACGTAATATAGTTTAGTTTAAGTGTTGAATACACTAATACTACACCGAGTTAAGCTCAATGTGAACACAGCCTTAGTCTTGTCTTATTTACACTACATTCTAGTTTTTGTAAGTATTTTATACAGGTACCTTAAGGTAGCTGGTATGTCTTAATGTTTAACTATTGATTTTTCTTCAACTTCTGTCAAATGTGAATGTGCTTTCAAATGTCAATATAACAATTGGGGTCACGGAGCTTTTTTTCGTTAAAATACATAGAGATGTACGAATCCACAGTTATTGTATATGGGTTATATATAAACACTTTTTTGTTCTTATTGGATGATCATCAAACGATATATTTGTTTTAAAATGCCACAACAGAGTTGCTTTTCATAAATACGTCCAAAATATCAAATAAGAATAAGGGGTCACGTGCCTTAATTTTTGAAAATTCATGAAACATGAAATTGCCCTATCAAATTCAACGACCCTTAATTTTTTGGTAGTTTAATCTTTAAGTTTTAAGATTCAGATGCTTCTATTGTATATTGATTATACTTGTTAAAATTTTCTTCAACCAAAAAGTATTTTTGAACATGTCCAGAAAGGATGCTCTGACAAAGACAACCGATCTACCTTAAATAGACCATATCCCATTTACAGATAAACATGTCTTTGGATATAAGTTATAAAAAACTATATTGGAACAATTTGAAAGGTGATTCAAATAGCAATTGATAGCATCTAACGTAATGGTTACATCTACAATTTATGATGTAGGTATTTCTAACTTAAATGCTGATTATTGGTTTTATTTGATACCGTCTTTATAACGGAGATACGTAAGTGGTATTTTGAGCTTGACCTGCATACAGATTTGTTTTATCGTCGCTAGGTAAGCTCAATTTGCAACAAAGCCTAAGTTTTACGTAGGCAAAGCTTTAAATCTATAATGGATTTCTTCAGTTGCAACGGCAAATCATTACAAATCTAATTATAAGAGCAACAGTTCTATTATTTATCAACATGATCATGATAAAAACTTTTTTTCAAATATAATTTAAGGGGAAATTGATATCTCCAAAAATAATTATATATACCTTATTTTTTTTAACGAAACATTATTGCATTATCAAAGCCCTTGATATACAACACTGAATACACAGAATGAAGTTTGTTGTCAGTTGTGGTGTATGTCTGTGATGTATGTTTTGGCTGTTGGACCCCATCAATTAATCTATTGTGTATGTTTGGATTGCTCACCCAATTTTGTCAATATAACGGAACTATAAGCAACTGTCATATATGTAGGAGGTTTAGCTAGCTATAAAACCACACCCCGTTTCTTCGGACAATGCCTGTACCACGTCAAAATATGGCAGTTACTTTTTCTCTCACTTGTTCTGTTGAAAGACAGCGTTTGATTTTGTCAGTTTTTATGGACTTCCCATTTTTGAATTTGCATTGGAATTTAGTATGTTGATATACATTTTCTAATAATTCAGCTAGAAGAACACACACATGAATAAAGATTCCGTATACATGTACAAATGTTTAAATTGAATTGTTTTGTGAAAATCATAACTTCTTCAAATTTAATTGTATTTGGATTAACAATAAACTTGTTATCAATATACTTGTTTCTCTCTATAGTCATATATTTTCACTTCATTACATAATAAAATTCATCTCATGGATCTTTTTAGCCGTTGTTCGCATATTCTTCAATCAATCTGAATTTTTTTCTTTTACCACTTTCAATTTGTAATTTATGGTTAATTAGTCTATATTGCCAGAGAACGTAAATATCCCGGGGTTCCAAAACATCTTTTAAAATACTCGTTGAAGCCAAAATCCTCCTTTAACAGGCGGTAATTTAATGTTCGAGTTCGTTGGAATATCTGAATACTATGTTTGTTTAAACTGATCTTGTAGATATTTTCTAACTGTAGTTTTAACTAAATGTCATTAACACAATTTTGCGTACATAAGATAAACCAACTTTATTAAGACTAGATTCTATACATTTCATCCAATCAAAATTAACATTAGTTTCATGAGATTTACTAAACATTAATTTATATGTGATTGCTGATAATTTACTGGGTTTGCGCAAGTTTAACTTTTGGCATGGACGAAATCTAAGCTACCATGATAAAGTCCTAGTTCTCCTTATATTACACTATTTGGGGTTGATGATTTGAGATGGAGAAGAAATTCTAAGTGAACTCTTTCTAGTATTTCATTATTTCCACATCCCAAAATTTCACAGCCGTACAATAAAATAGGTTTAACCAATTTATCAAATAAACCTACCTCATGAAGTCTCCCTTTTTTATAACTTCGTACATGGCTATCGTAAATATTTCTGCTATATGTTTCTTGTTTGCTTTAAATAGGCAATTTGTAGAAGAAAAACAAAACAAACGCCAAGGTAATTAAACTCATTAACAATCTCTATGTCAGAGTTGCCGAAATTATTTTAAGATTTACAGGTTGTCTAACACTACAAACAAATCATGATTTTTGGCTTGTCTACATTGATTCTCAGTTTCTAAGCATTACAATATAAAAAAATATTCTAGAAGTAATTGAAGTTCTGGGGCTGATTCAGCCACTAGCACAATATCGTCTGCGTAGAGAATTGCAAACATTTTAACATAGGTATATAGATCGTCTTGTAGGGCATCTGATTTAGTGTTCAAACCTATGAAATTCCCTTTATTAAAGAAATCTTCAAATCGTTCTAAAAAGTGAGAAAAAAAGAAAGAAAGAAAAGGGGATAAATTCTCCCATTGACGTTATCCAATGTTGCTTGGAAAATGATCTGTTTTCTCACCATTTTCTGAAGAGCATGATGTTATATCACCATACATGTTATGAAACATCTTCTGCATATAACCATTGATATTTTTTACTAGCATTATATGCCATTGATTTCATACAGTTCATTGTCGATATAGAGTTGGTCGCGTACAAGTGTCATATTTCTTCTATTGTACTAAGCTTCTTGCATAATTGGATACAGCTTTTTCTTTCGGAAACTGCTGTTTGATACCATATCTATTATTCCGTAATGTGAAGGCGTTGTCTTACACATACTATAAATCGTATTGATATAGGAATCGTACGCCGATGGGTCTAAAACCACGTTCAAACCAGTAGACGTATTAAATTTAATTTTGTATTCAATACCTAGTTCATTATATAGAAAATCGTTGAGAAATTCTTCGTTGTTTTCGTCTCTAACCTCATAAAGTCCAGTAAAGATAAGATTGTTTTTCATAGAGCGACACTGTAAGTCAATACTCGTTCATTAAGATTTCCAAGTTCACTTTGACAGTTACATTCAGTCAAAGTTCTGCCTTGGGAATTTATTTCAGAAATACCTTTTGAAACCTTATTTATACTATTTCTTACTTAATCCATTTCATTGGTATTATTGTCATTGAGACTTTTCTTTATATTAGTTTGAGAGTTAAGGGTATCAAATAAATTCCCTACTCCTTGAATGTTGTTTTCAAGTTCGGATATTATGCTTTGATAGTGTTGTATACCTTTCTCAGTAGTAATACTTCGACTTGTCAGAGATGTAATGAAATTCGTTATTCTACCAAATTTTCCAATGCCTTTTTCTCCTGACTGTAGTCTTTTGGCAAAGCTTGACACTAAGTTTAGAAAGGTGTTGAAAAGTGGGGTATTGTTTGAACAATAGAAGAACAATCAAATCATTGTCATAT